AATTCTACTGGTCTTCACTGACGTGTAGATACCTCACAGCATGTTTGGCAATATATTACAGCTTGGCAATGGCAGTGTTTTCATTGCAAATAATTCTTGAGCAATGAAGTTTGATATTGTTGTGAAGTGCTAGTCTCATGTTTTACGCTGATGTGGGCTCCTGAAAATGATTAAGAAGCACCTAAGCCAAAAATAAAACCTGTTAAGTTCTGTCCAAATTACTGCTGGGATTATCTTAGTGTAATGATCAGTTATGAAGTCTGGAATAATATCAGGCTAGCAAGACTCACTTAGGCTTATATATTTCTGATATCCAGCTTGTTCTAAATGTTTACATCTCCTGCATCACTTCTCAGAGCCATATTTCTTAATTCTCTACAAGCAAAAGAGGCAGCAGCAATGCTTAGCATTTGAACAGCACTTTTCACTTTCAAAATGCTGTACAGATGTTAAAGAGTTTTCCCCAAACTCATGCAAAACCTGAGAATTGAGGGGAAAAAAATTTAAAGGTGTTAATGGAAATTTGGTGCATATACTTTCTGCCTTTGATAATCACCCCCACTCCTATTGCCGGGTTTTAATTAGGGAACTAAGAAGGCCAAACCATGATTTCACCACATCTGTTTAACCAGCTTGTCGCAAGCTCTGTCCCCTATTTCAGAGTTTTATCTCACAGTACACACTGGGCTTACTACATCTGTAACCTCCAAATGTATTATCTATCCTGTGTAACCCAGAGTGCTGCTTGTGAAATGCACTGTCTAGATGGTACTAAACGGGAATTTTTCCAGTGTTGGTGTCATCGCAACATTGGTGACGGCTCTAAAATGGAAGTTAAATAATTTAAACTGATTCTCTTTGTTGTCAAAAATTGACTGTCCCAGTTCAAAAATAGTCTTAATCAGCTGGCTGGAAAAAAGAGCCCTTCCTGCCATGGAGAAGGTCTTATAGGGCACTTGGTTCTGTCCTATAGGATCAAAAAAAGGCTGGACAGTAGATGCAAACAGCTAACAGGATATAAAACACCTGAAAGAAGAGAAATGCTCTTTAAGATGTGCTTTTATCAGTTGTAGAGAAGCTGTTAGTATCCAGGCCTGTCAGATATTTGGCATTAGAAAGCTGTAAGATTATTGAGGTTATTATTCTTGAAAATTGCACTAAAAGGCACTAAAAATGAGTCAGGGCTCAGTGACTTGAAGAACTGCCCAAGCAACCTATGAATAACCAGACTCACCCATATGAAAACATATAGTCATGTTGGCAAGTTCAGAAAGCTCTTTAGCTCTGCAGAGCAGTATCTGCTCAGTATCTGCATCTGTATCTCCAGTATCTGCACTTTGTGTGTTTGTGTTCTGTGGAGACACCTCTAACTCTTCACAGAGAGAGGCACTGTGGCATGTCTTCATGGACTAAATCCTTTGGCTGGTTTGTGGAATTGGAAACACTTCTTTGCTGGGATTTTTTGGACGTATCATTTGGGAAGAGCGCTTGTCTGCAGAGTTACAGCAGGCAGGTCCTGATCGTGCTGGTCTTTCTCTAACTGAAAGGAAAATATGGTGCTCATCTCTCAGAGAGGGGTGATGGGTGCACACAGAGTGTGAGGGTGGGTGTCTTGCTGGACTGGGCTGTTTATATTCTCTCCTGAACACATAATATTTTGCAAAGATGCAATGACATTTTAACCTTCTCTCTAATAATCCCCATGGCATGGCAGAACCTAAGGTAACTAACATGCCTTAGTACGTTATCTGATTCAAGTAGTTAGCATAGACCAAATAGACTTTGCTGAGAGCTGAACTTGCCTCTGTTATGAAAGTTACCCTGCTTGCAGGATGCTGTGTGGTATCCTGTAAAACTGGGCTGTCGTTGCCCAAAACCAGGGAAGAGCGAAGCAAAACATGCCCTGCCTAGTTCCTTTGCCAGATGAGAGGTTTGGCTATGTTCATTTGCTGTCACTGCAGTTGACACTCAGCAGATGCAGATGTGTTATTTTTATATACGTCTTCAAGACTGAGCGCAAACAGAGCTGTGTGCTGTTCATCACGTAGAAAATTAGAAATGACATGTCTGCCTCTTAAATAGAGCTTGCAATTGGACATGTAGATATCAAATTTATACTTAGAGCCTGAGCACTGTGAGGAGGAGGTGAGGATGATCATGCCTCGGTCTCTCTATTGCCCGATGGAGTCATGTTAACTTCGACATGCATTCAGTGGTGCCTGGAGTGAAGGTCTCCATTTGTTTTATACCTGGGCCAACTGCCAGCTTGCGAAAGTATGTTTTACAGAGCCAGCAATGTTATCAAAGCTGTAAGCTTAAATAATGCTATGTTATCAACTTAAACCTGGCTCTTAATTTGAAACATTTAGGAAAGAGCACTGAAGTCAGCTCTTATTTCATTTTCATTTACTAATGGAGTAATCACCATCTGTAGAGCTTGCAGCCACAAAATCTTTCACTCAATGAAAATTGTGCTCAAGATTTTACCTGTCTGAGATCTATAATCTCATTTTAATTAGCATTGCACATGATTACTCCAATCAGAATAAGTCAGTGGCAAACACTGCCATCTGCATTCATCGTTAACATCAGCTAGCATGATAGCAGTCAGTGATTTTAAGTTAATGCGTGGGCTCTGAGGTACAAATGTCTGTTCAAGGACAAAGAACACTGCCTTTTCTTCCTACTACTTAGCTTTTGAAACACCTCCTTCATCTTAAAACTGGTCAAATATGGAGCATTTCCAGTTTGGCATCTGTTTTACATCTGGGATGTGAGAGTCTTGCATATTCTCTTCAACAGAAGATATTGTCATTTGTTTTAAGAAATTTTGAGATGTTGGTAGGCTTCCATGGCAAGGAACATAATTCAGTGTTTTTCAGTATTCAGTGGTGGTTTAAGGCAATAGTTGTCCATACAGTGAAAACTAAGACCACTGCGTGCAGATAAGGACAATACCAGCAGGATGATATGTTGGATGCCTGTTTGTGTGTGCACTGCCATGTCTCCAGAGATCAGGTGTCATTAATTGGTAAAGAAGAGGTGACTGATGATTCTTAGCTGTTTCTGGATTTGTATGCTGCTTCATCATATGTCCTCACAGAATGCCTTATTTGAGAAGGCAGCGCCTGAATTGCTACTGATAAGAATCCTTAACAAATGAAACTTACTAAGATATAGCCAAGTTTTTAAAGGATTAATGCTAAACCATTAATTTTTTCAAAGGTTACATGCAGTCCAAGTACATTTACCAAGAAAGGCACAAGCATATCAGATCTCGTGGATTATGTAAAATTCAGCAGTCTTCATCCTCACAGAAGGGAATTGTCTGGGCTTTTCTGAATACAGTAGTACATGACTGTAAACTCTTTAAGAGAAGACATATTCCACATAGCATTCTTCTTCCTCCTCCTAAATCAAACCTTTCATGCAGGATGAGTGCTTACAAGAGCTTTGAAATTGTTTTGGTTGTATAGTTACAACTCTGGGGTTTGTTAAGTTCTCCTCATTTTGAGAGGTAACCTTGAGTGGTTTAAATTTACCCATAAAGCTGCTATAATCATTCCCTGCAATCGCACTAAAATGCACAACAATTAATTATATCAAATCCTTCTCAGAGAAGTGTTTATCAGAGAAGAAATTGCCAGGACTTTATTTCTGACAATAAAAGAGCAGGAATTATTATACACCTCTTGGGGCTTCACTGATCTAACTGTTCTGTAGTCAGGATTATAATCATATTATTTTTCTTATAGGAAATAAACATCAGTTCTTGACAGGCATCACCTTTAAACAGTGTTTTACTTGGGAAAAATATTCCCATACATTTTTTCCTGTAAGAAACCAAGATCTGGATTTTTAGCTACGTAACACCAATGAGCAACCTGTACTGCCTTGTTGGGATTCACATGCAGGGTCTCCCTTTGACAAACTGGAGTGTGTCTACCCTAATGACTGCTGGTGTAGGTGCCGGGCATAGGACTGGATGAGGCTGAAAATTAGTATCACTGCACTTGGTAATACAGAGCTCGGGACAGGCTGAAGATCCTTCCCAGGACTGGGGTTGAATACTTTGGCAGTAAGTTCATGCTAAAATATGCATAGCCATAGTTTGATAGCCAGGTGACTTAAAGCTAGCCCTCAATTTGTGCCTATGGAGTCCCTAGACTTATATATGCGTTTTATATTAATATACATGCCCTATACATGGGGGGTTTTGTATAGGCATACCCAAGGTAGAAGTCCATTTCAAACTGCTGGAAAACATCTTCAGCATCAAAGGGAAGAGCTGCTTGAGCAGCTGCAGCACAGAGGGACAGTGACAGAATGGTGCTGTGTGCACCCCAAGTCCATTTGGAGGGGTTTGTGTCAGACTAGCACTACTTTGGTCAGGGCATCTTTCAGTTTAGTTTCAGATTTCAGGAATCCAATGTGCTCAACCTAACAACACAGCTCCAGGACGTGAACCAAAGCACCAGAGTGGGAATAATCAAGAGATTCCCTTTGAAAGCTCACTTCTGGTCTGAACTAGATGCTCATATAGGTGCATCCATTCACCTGAAGAAATGCATTACCCTGAGCACGGTTTTGGTCCCTTGTGTTTAGTCCTTCTAAAGCATCCCTGTTTGCCAGACACTCCTCTGAGCACAGTGGGGTGCGAGAAAAGGACAAGCTCAACAGCCACAAAGTGCTGTTGGCAAGGTGACAAGAGGGACTTCTCAATTCCAGGTTTATTTACTAGATACTCTGATATGGCAATTGTTCTTCATAAAGTGAAACAGTAAATAACATACTTTATGGTTCAGCTTCTCTTAGAAAAGAACAGGATTCCATAAAGATTACCTTCACAGTGAGAGGTTTTCCTCCAAGCAAGGTCTTTCCCTTTGGAAAGGAGCAAGGGTTAGCTTGCTCCTTGTCATAAAATATAACAATTGTTCAGAATTAAATGTTCCCAAGGCTGATATAATCACCTGTCTTCATATCTTTGTTTCCTTTCACAGAGCCATGTTTGACTATGACAAGAGCAAAGACAGTGGCCTCCCAAGCCAAGGACTCAGCTTTAAGTATGGAGACATCCTTCATGTCATCAACGCCTCAGACGATGAATGGTGGCAGGCGAGAAGGGTCACTCTGGAGGGAGACAGCGAGGAGATGGGAGTTATACCCAGCAAGAGGAGGTGAGTGCTGCCTCCTCCTTCCTACCTTCTTGGCCATGATTTCATTTTATTCCAAAGACGGGGTACATAATCTATGGAAAAAATGGGGAAAGTTAAGGAAAATCCCACAGTTATTATTTCAAAAGAAAGGGGGAGAGGGAGAGAGAGCACCAGCTACTAAAGAGCTTTGGCAGAAAAAGGAATAACCAGAACCCAAGTCTGGAAATTAGCTCTGAATTTGAAGTAGAGCACACGTTTTAATATCAGGCTGATTAACCATTGCATCAAACTGCTGAGGGATGTAATGAATGTCTTGGTATTTTCAAATCAAGAGTGTATGTCTTTCTTCTCAGCCTGTGTGATGTAAAAAAAATGACACTGAATTACATAATGGTCCTCTTTGGCTTCAGAATCTGTTAATTTAATCTCCGTCTGCCTGGAAACTGATGGATAATCAATATCACGGTAGTTTTTTCATCTAATATCAATGAAGGAACTTTCATCCACTCTCCAAGCTAAATCTGAATCTTTGTTTAGCTGTGACAGATTCATGCTGACTGACAGAGAGAGAACAGACATCTGAATCTCTCTAACTGTTTGTATTGTTTACCCTGTCTAGATGCTTTTGTAAAATTGGCCACAGGTCTCAGATAGTATCAGAACTACCACACAAATCAGTATTACTTTCTGCCTCTGTGGATAGTGGCTACAGAAAGGTCAAGAACTGAAAGGGTAGGAGGAAAATGAAATCTGTCAAACCACATTACATTTCTCTTTTGCAGCAATGCTCCCATACTGCATATAAACCTTCTATCTCTAGCTATTTTAGCTTTAGCATTAATATAAAAATGATTGTGCCCATTTTTTATACTGGGGAAATGGGTTGTTTGATGCTCTGTGGTGCACCTGCTGCTCAAGAAGGTTGGCTCAGGTGCTAACAGAGCTTATGGTACTCCTCATTTTACATCATGTAAATGTAAACTGAAAGACCATCAAATACCTTGTTGACATGAGCCCTGCAAGGACTTTATTTTCTGTAATCATGACCAGGTTTGAGTAGCAACCACACCAGGAATTTCACTTTGGAGTTTTATAGTAGGTAGAAATAAAAACTACAATGTAACTTTTAAGATGGGGAAAAATGTGCCCATTAAGCAGATTTATTCTCTAGATATTGTAAAAGGAATGCTTGCCTGCTGTTAATTGCTACACTAAATACTGTTGTAATGACATGATTGGATCACACATGGGAAAAGAGAGAATTCTATTCAGTTACTACCGAGGGAAGTATGTGCACAAAGCTCACTCAGTGTAGCGCATACTATGAAAAGATACAAAAAGATGTCATACATAATAAAACTATAGGGGGAAAAGGGCAAAGCAAAGCAACTGATTAATATGTTGAGTCGTATCTTCTGTAAGGTAGAGAAGATGTAAGTGTCTTAAGCTTGTTGGGTTACTTGCACAGTGATGTTTTCAAGGACAAAAGATAGAGCCTCTCTAGTCAAGGTCAGACATGCAGTACAGCCTAGGAAAAAGATGCAGCTTAGGAAACACTGGGAGGAAAGAGGGAGAAGGGAGAAGAGGCAAGATGAGAATAGGTTGGCTAGCATCTAAAAATGAGAGTCCTGAATTTGAGAAGCTGCAGGTATAGTTACCATCCCCTGCACTTGTCATCCTGATTCTTCCCTAGTGAATCTGAGAGGTCTGGAAAAATCAATGGCATCTGATTTTCTGTCTGCATTAATGTAATGACGTGATACACCTGAGCTGGGGGGCGGTGAGGAGGTTGCTATTGTTTCATAAGAGGCTTCAGTTGTACAAGGTTATTTTTCCCAATGCACTGAAGGGTGAGTGTTATTTCCTTCCTGTGGATTTTGGATGATCCCTCAGAGCCAGTGAGACTGATGTGCTCTTGCCAGCACCTTCTGTGGTCATGTACACCACCCAAGGGGAGGATGAGCAATCAATGCGTACAGGGCTGAGCTACAGAGAATAAAGCTCTTCATATTGCCAGAATGATCGAATTCAGAGTAATTTCCTCTGCAGGTGTGGGTTAGTGACTGTGACAGGCTTGATATAAAACAGAGTAGCCCTGTGATTCATTTGACCAAATGCAGGCAATTATGGCATAGAAATCTTTGGTTAAGCTGTTTTCTCCAGGATGCTATTTCTCTTACAGTTTATATGGCATTATTTCTATAGGCACTGCATTATATGTAATACAGTGTATGAAATATCTAGCTGTAAAATATGCCTTGTGATGAAACAGGAGGAAAAGATTGCCTGTAGCTGTTTGTTGGGCTGTGGCTTGTCCAGCAAGCCCAACTTCTTATGGCATCGTAGGTTGAAGGTATTTCATACTTGTCTTATACTTTTCAATCCCCCATTCATTTTTCTTCCTTTCCTTTAAGATTTGGGGAGGGTGGGAGTGATGTTGGGGAGATGGTTTGTTGGGGTTTGGGTTTAGTGTTGTGCCCGGGCTCCTTCTTCTGCCTAGGTATATATGCAGGAATACAATCCTGTGGGACTGTAATATTTTTTCACTTTGGGTCAGGGAGAAGCTATACATATCCAGGGATTATTAGTGCCAGGGTGAGTCTTTCAGCTATCTGTTTTACTACCTTATCTCCTGTCCAGCAACAGCCACTATGCATTTCCTGCATTTTTCCATAACTGAAATAGCTCTGAAAAACAATAAATGCTTCAATTTTATTTTGGGGGGTGTGTGTATATATATTTGTACAACTATATGTATATACACACAAAGCCATAACAGGTACATTATATTACTTCTTTAATGTGCTATGTAATGGTAATTGTTTTCCAAGTATCTGGTTTCACATGGTTTTTTACATCTATTTACAGGAGAGCCCTTCCCACAGTGACATTTTAGCTAAGAGAAATTTTGAATGATAAGAGTCCATCCTATTTTTCTATGATATATATGATATACCAGAAGAAATCATAGTTTATAATTGGGAGCTGCCACTCATTATTGCCAGACTTTCTCTCTTAGTGATTCAATAGAGCTTGAAAGGTATTTATCATTAGATTTCAGTGCTGCTGCTAACCTACAGACTTGTTGATGGTTAAATTGTAAAGTCAGGCTTAAAGAGGGAGTTTTGGAGAGCAGCACTGCAAGAGGAGGGTTGCTGAAAGAGGCAGCATAAAGAAATGAGAGTGGCCCTGTGTTTCTCCATTGATCTGTGCAAGGACCAAATCTCATGAACTGGTGAGGCAGTGAACTCAGTGGGGGTTAACGAAACCTAAATGCTCAGTATCCCAAAGTGCTAAAATATCATTGCAACCCTTTCTACATTTATTCATTTGTTAATGTGTACTTATTGTCTGATTACAGTTCTCAACTGTGGGACTGAGTAGCCAGTTGCGTAGTAACCAGATATAATGCTATAAAGGTGGTGTGATGTTGTGTCATATTGAAGTTGGGAACAGTAGGATTTTGGCAACAAGAGGCTGCAAACCACTTCAGTAGTGGTTTAACGGTCACCAAATAGTTGTTATTGTATAATATTAATGAATGGATATTGCAGGCCAAATTTCTCTTGGCTCCACATCCACCAAAAAGATTTATCCAACCTATGTCTAAGGTGAGAGCAGGGCACAATTATTATGCTGGCAGGGTCTCCAAAGTGAGGGGACATAAATACCAGTCATGCACCAATGTCTCAGGCATCCTGTGGTGTTATCTGTGCGCTATGATTACATATGTGAATTGCTCTTCTATCATAAAAAAATTACTGTTTTATACTAGAATGACCAACAGAATTAGATTTGCACTAGATTTTTCTTCACTTAGATGTATAGATTTAGATTAGAATTTTACACATGGTGGGATTTTGATCAGAAGAATTTTTATTTGCCTCATTGTCCTCCCTATTGTCTGGATAATCAAACTAAATTCAGCTTCCTATAAAGAGTAGCAGCCAGCTGAGTAGCCTATGTCTAAGACTTCCTCCCCATGGAAGCACTTATATTAGTTAAAGGGAGAAACAAAAAGCATAAAGCAAATGTGCATAAGTTAGAGCATATTAAATTCCTAAGCAGATGCTTAAATCCAGATGCAAGGAGATTTTAATCTGTTTTAGCACTGATTTTACACCTCCAGGTCTTTCTGCTTTCTCTTTGAGGAGTCTGCACACAGAAAAGCTCTTACACTGCAAGCCCCATACGACAGCATTAATGTCAAGCTTCTGTATTTTCTATGACGTGTTTCTGCTTTCTGTGGGTCTAAAAGTAATTTAGTCTGCAGTTTCACACAGATTGCCCTCGAATTACACTGGTTTTACTACTTCCCCACTGTGGCCAAAATGGATTTGGTCCGAAAACACTCAAATACTTACACTAATCTTTCTGTTGTCTTTGAGATGTGCAGACACAAAACTGCTCTCAGACCAGACATCATTCTAAGAAATCCCTGTTCAGGTAGTTTAAGTACCTCTGGCTGCAAAATTTTATGCAACTCAGACAGTTGTTATTACCATCCGAAAGTGTATGATGGTACCAACCTGGTATGTGTCATGTGAAATAGACGACATTCTCCCCACAAATGCGTGTAACCGCTCTCTCCTTTTAGAGCACGATGCGGGGGGAAGTAAGAAAAACAAGTTTCACAAGTATTTAAGGACAAGGAACAAGAGGTTTTCCCAGCACAGAAGTCCCTGTGGGCAAAAAGCCAACTTAAATTTGTTATTCTGCTCAGTTTGGCAGAAGGGTGTGTTTAGCCACTCAAGTGAGTTGTATTGACAACACCAAGCTGCGTGGTGCAGTCAGCACACTGGAGGAAAGGGATGCCATCCAGAGAGACCGTGAGAGGCTCGAGAGATGGGCCAGTGCCAACCTCATGAAGTTCAACAAGGCCAAGTACAATGTCCTGCACCTGGATTGGGGCAATCCCAAGCACAAACATAGGCTGGTCATAGACTGGACTGAGAGCAGCCCTGAGGAGAATGACTTGGGGGTGTTGGCCAATATGAAGCTCAACATGAACTGGCTTCAGT